GCCAAATGAAAGGATACTAATGCGTCATATACGTTAATTTTCATTAGAGCGAGTGAGCATTTCTTTATTTAAACATTTCATCATTCCTTCGAGTTTTGTTTTAAATACACTCATGTTAACTTAATTTTTAATTGCATTATACTTAATGACTACTGCGACTATCAAACCGCCTCCCAATCCCAAGCATGAAAACTATGACAAATATCCCTCTACGAGTCAATTTATGGGGGAGGCCTGTGTTCAGCAATGAACTTCTTATAAATGTTGATAGGCTGTATATATAACGTTGATGATGACGGAAGTAATTTTCCATTTACACTTTTTCCACCAAGTTCTCGATGTAGCATTAGCACTTAACACCGTGAGGTCTCGTCTTTCCTTGCAATATTTCGTACGTATTATAAGTTTCTATATTACTTTAACGTTTACAGATACAAGTAGTAAGCAATAACCGCGACCTGTTTCTATCCCTGCGGCGTTCCTCGCGGCTATATTTCCAATGTCAGGAACCAGTTCCGACCTAGACTGATAGCCTGTTACTAAACGGGTTAACTGGATGTCTTTCAAGAGTTAATCGTTTTGTTGTAATACTGTCGAAGTGTAAATATAGTTAAAGTATTGTTGAGTGAAAACTAATCTGTTCCGGAGTTCAATCTTATTATAGAGTTTTAATAGCAAGGTTTCTTTGATATTCATATCGTATCATAACGCATGTGTTGCTATTAAATAGTTATTTCTACATTTTCACTAATTAAATTAAACCTAACACTTTATCCGCTAAATATTAAAAACTGTACCTGCTAATGTACTTGTATCATTTTTATTCTTATTATCATAGTTATGAGCATTATTAGTACCTATACTTTATGTAAAATAAAAATAAACTGTTATTTCTTCTTTTTACCTATTATAAAATGAATAGTGAATACTCTAAAACGTTTGAATGTAAAATATGTTTCTAATTTAAGGCAGACAGGATGTGGTGATATATTCAACAAAGTGTTATGTATAAAATAATCGAAGCGATCAGCTCACCTCGCATAATTTGTTAGTCACTGGACATATTAAATTCGCACCTATAGGTGTCGCCGTGTTTGTAATATGTTTGCATTGTATGCATGTACAAGACGACGGTTCCGCGACGTTAATGGTTGCATTGGATGTCGAACGATTATGATTGCTAGTGTGGTGTTAAGAATTGTTTAGAATGGGCAAGAGTAACCATTTAAACTGAAATACTATTAAACGAACTGATGGTAAGTATAAAAGTAAGAAAATTAAATAATAAAAAAGAAAAAAAAAAAGTATACCGTAGTCCATAAATAACTTCATCTATGCATACTCGATTGAGAGTCCAAATGCAGATGCGTTTTCACTCCTGAGGTAGTCCTCAGGGATGAAAACGCATCTGCATTTCATCTTAGTATATGGAATGCCTCCCATCCAGTAGAAAGGGTGCGATTCTCTACACTCACCCTACGACACCCAGCAGCGTTGAACTGCTATTTTACGCTGGTATTCTATGAGACCGGTGTTCTTCCCTGGTCCAGCCGACCCATTCGTGCTACAAACATAATATATGTAGCTGCAGCATGACTCTACCACGTATAAAAAGTGTGTTTGGATATTTTGTTCTTCGATCACAATCGTATGGCTGGACGAATTCTAATGAAATTTAGTCAAATTTTACTAAATAGGAAAGGACTGTGTTGTGGAACGGCACATAGGATACTTTTTGTGACAAATATTACTAAAGTTGAATTCACGCCTAGCGAAACAGGATGGTAACAGATGGCATTTAGATATGGCCTTTTTAATATACAATAACAGTTCCACGTAGGTGTACGTCAAGCTGTTATCGTAAATCATTTTGACTTCCAAATTTAAGCAAGTAACGCTCTTAGATAATTTATCCTTAAAATCACGAACCTTGTCAAATAATTTATATTTAACTGGTCTTAAAGTGACTTTATTGTTTGACCTAATTATACGTATAAAGTAGTTTAATATATTTTGCTGACATTCACGTGATTTTAGTTTTCATTTTAGACTACATTGTAGAGTGATCAGAATTTCAAAATAGTTTAAATTTTAATGCAAGCGCTAATTTAATTGACTGTTACTTAATGTTATCTAAAACGTAAACTCTCAAACTCTTTCTTTTCTTCAATCTTTAGGCGAATAAATAGGCACTATTTATTCACCTAAAAATGCCCGGTTACCTTGGTGGCTTCTACATTTCAGAATGTACCAAGTATCAAGTGCACTAACCACCTTCAGCTGCAACGCAATAATAATTAATAGCCACGAACTACCAAAATTTTGAGTGTAAAAACTGGTACTCGTTTTTTATTAAATGGGAATAATGGTTTCTTAAATTTATTTGTTGTAAAGCACCCGAAACGTCGGGATAATAAAAATAAGTTAAAGTAGTAATTAAACGCGATAAAATCCGTAAATAATAGTTTTATTCATTATATAGGAATTCCATTAAAGCAATATAATCATCGACAAAGAGTTCCTGCCACAAACACGATTGGGATCTTTGGCAAATATATGATCCTTCGAGCCGGATTAATACATTACAGCAAAGGGTTGGAATGATTTTGCTCGCAACAGTCTTTTTATCCAAATACAATGCAGGTGCCTTAAGAGGCTTTTAATAAGCTAGTGCGTTGCTCAAGAATATAATATCACCATTCATTATAAGGCAGGATTGTAGTTAAATACAACCTTATAATTAAAAGAAAATCTTTGAACGTAATTTCATGCTTAATGGTTGAGTATTATATTATATAACCAAGAATTTTCACTTCAACAATTCTCATAATATGAAACTAAGAGTTACGGTGCGTAAACACGTGTCTTTGTTATCCTTATTGATATCTGGGTGCTACAACATATTTTGTTACCTATATTGTAATTAACAAAACAAATGTAATCTGAAGCAGCAATAATGGCTTACGTATGGCTCTTAGAATTCTTTAATTTAAAATTTTAATTTCTAAAGCTCTTACAAATTTGTTTTAGAATTGTTCAAATGCTGTAATATTCATGGATTATAGATATTATGTTAAATAGACTTCCTCAAATGCCCTCAATGCACAAATAATGGCGTATCGTGTATTGCAGTGCAAGGGTGTTGGTTCTACTCTCCCCAATCTCTCTACTATCGTCACATGCCTGACGTGTTGAATATGACATATCTTCAAGTTATGCATGCCGGATGGCTCATCCTAGAAGTGGCTTATACCCCGAAGAGAAAGGAACCTATATCCACACAAACATGTAGTCTTTTGTTAGAGTACAAATGATATTTAAATACATATATTGATCTTATTTATAAATAGGTACGTTTATTTCGTTTCTAGTTCAAAGAGCTCGTTGTACTTTTTTAATTCTTAGCAGAAGTATTCTTTCACCTCTTTCTAAAATAAAAATCAACGGAAAATTTGAAATAATGTTCCTTCTAGCAATATCCTTTCCGTACGTTGTCAACCGCGCCGCTCATTAAAGCGGGCCTATTAAAACAAAGAGCTCTAGCGCTTCGTAACTCAACACGGCATCATTGACATGCATAACTCTCCCCGGGCGTGTCGGTCGACATTATTCATATTGCACCAAACGGTCTACACCTCTACCACATACCAGCTAAAATGCATTCTACGTAGCAACAATTGCGTGCGCGCAGCATTTGCGTGTGTGCGTGTTTATCGTAATATATCATACAATTAATCTTTATTTTTAATTTATGGAACTAGCATAAAATTCTACAAAATCCTTCACGTCATTTCAGATCGACCTATCGAATTATCTTTCTTATAAATTCACTACATAGCATAATACTTTGAAATAAATGTAACTATTGTTTCGTGTGGTTTGATTTGGTTATAGGGTCGCGAGGCGACTTAAGTAATCTATGAAGAAAACAATACTTAGAACGTAAATTAAAAAAAATCCCATCCGTAATAGTATATTATTTAAAACTAGGTGTCGTCGGCTCGCGTCGCTATGGCTCTAAAAGTTTTAAAACGTTTTCAGTTGCAACAAAATTTCAAACCAATCTGTAAAGAACTTTCGGAAATTAAATATTTTGAACAAATGCGCATTAACAATTTATTTATTTAGAACATTAATAATAACATTAAGTAGAACTATTTTCTTGCTATCCTGTCACTCGTTAATTTTTAGTATCGTGGTAGTAATATTACATTAGATAATTTATTTATGCGTTAATACCTAAGATTAAAGAATAGCAACTGCTCCTATTTTTATTCTCGTATAACTCGTCTGAAATACTTAAATCTCTTATGCACGATGTACTATGAAAAATATATTTCGTTTGAAATATAATTGCTATATCATCAAGAATATTTTTGCAAATTTTCATTTTTAAACAAGCATCAAAACACCTAACTTACAGGTAACTGGGTCGTTTTAAACAGTTTTACAAAATATAAGTATTTGTTATTTGTTCTATAGTCAATGCGTTATTCCCGAGGGGTTTTCTCAGCAATACTTGGCCTGACGCCAAGAGAGGCTGTCGACGTCACTTGACAAGCTTCTTGACCCGAAATACGCGGACGGCAAAATATAACTGCGTAAAATGGCGAACTTACCGTCTTCTTAATATATAATAAGGGTGAAAAAAAATGTATACTAATAAGTAACTTTTCTTCTTTCCAGATGCAACTCAGCTCAAAATCAAACGGAACACTTCAACCATAGCATTTTAAGTTCAACCTGACAAAAGTTATCTGTGATCTCATTTTAGTTTAGTTTAAATAAAACAATCACGTTATTTAGATTAGTGGAAAACAATTGAAGCGTTAGCTCATGTTCGTAACTAATATCCGTCTCAAAGGACCAAAATCTGTAAGTTTTTGAATTTGGAATTGGACAAAATGGAATCGTAGTGAGTGGTCATGGATAACAGATAGTGGTTATGAATAGCTGTTGAAGGATGGGATAATGGAAGTTGGGGCGCTGGGTTCTTGAAAATGCCTCATGCGCACTCGAGTTCAGCGGCGAGCTCGGGCGGCGACGACCTGGGCTCCACAGATGAGGTGAAGGTGTTTAAGGACGAAGGTGACGGAGAAGACGAAAAGCGAAGCTCTGAGAACCTTCTCGAAGAGAAGTCTAGTCTTATTGATTGGACCGAGAGTGAGGTAAGATTTTAAATTATTTTAAATACTTCATAACTTCTTTCTCAAGTTTATAATTGTGTTAAGTTTGTCGTATTCATTACAAAGAATTTCTAATTAAACTAATATTTATTATGTGTATGGATAATATTTCGTATTATATTTTCTACGCCCATATTAATGGTGACGAATCAAAACTGCATTAATGGTGAACAGATTGAGATAGTGGGATTAGCCATCCGATGTAACGATACTTAGATCAAATTAGGCACGTTAACAATTCAGTAAAAAGCACGATGTCGCACAATATATCAACATACATATCAAGACGAACATGATCGTAAGTATTAAACTACGAAGTTATGGGTGGTCCTAATAACACAAGTAAAACTATTCTTCCAATTGGTCTATTAGATTAATTGTGTCGCCTTTTAATAAAAGTGTAAAGTAAACGAATAGGTTCACGTGGCGCTTGCGCTGTGGAAACTATGAATGCACTGGCGGGTTCCCAGCAGGTGCCACCTCAGGTAGGCCTCTTTTAAGATGCTTCCCGGTATTAAGCTACGGCACTATTGAATAGAATCGCAATCTCTTTCAATACAATCCCTGCAGTACAGCAAAATTACTGATGCTGTCTTAAATTTCACTCCAACCCAATTTTCATATCTATGGCTACAAATATCTTTAGAACTTTTATGTTCCTAACAAAATGCAACCGATCGGGGATTGCGTTTATTTATTCGTTTTCACAATATTACACTTCTATATTCAATTGAATTTGACAGCTTAGTTTACTTATCAAGTTCAACGCTCCTCCCATTTTTTGTACGTGATACACATCGCTGAATGGATCAATTAATTATGTTTACTGCACAAGGTGTGTCTCATTTGATAGCCATTTGATGTCAAGAATTAAGATAAAGCATAGTTTATGACGGCATCAAATTTTTACACGATCCGCCTAAGAGAGTTTAATATTCATAAGTAGACGCGATAGTCGACCTCATTATGTCCAATTCTACGCGTAGATTAACATCGAAATTGTTAACTGTAATGGGTAAAGTGCTTAATTATCTCTGAATGTCCACCACAAATAACAGAAGATATCATCAGAAACCGACATAAAAGTGTTCCTTTAAATCGCAAATTGCCCGTAAAACAAACAAAAACAACCACAAGGACCGAAACTAACGTTAACCAAAACACCGACTGAACAGCGCCGTTGAAAAAATTCACGGGTACATTTCTCGAAATTTATATTAAATATTGTATAGCAGTCCGCATAAATTACTCGCTCATTGTGCTATTTCCTAAAACTCTATTATTCGATAGATGGGGGCGCGTATACAATGAATATCTACCTGCATTTTGGTATTCCTTATAATAAACATGGACTCCCACTGCTTTTGTCGACGAATTTACCTGTCGTGAGAGGCGAGGGAGTGCAAACACGACGGACAGATGAAGTAGACTATAAACAGCCATCCCTATTCCGCTTTAACTTTTGTTCAACGGTGTGATAAAGACGAAACATTGATCTGGAATCTGAAGCGTTGCAGTCACGGATCGTATAAATATTGGATTATACTTAGGTGCAATTCTGTTTTGTATGTCATAATGGTATCGATTATCGTACGTGATGCTATTACAATACACATTGTGAACACCATTCCCTGCGAGTGATTTCTTTTTTAGATTACAGTTTGCGTCCGGCTGTGAATTGATTTCGTTTCGTACGAGACTTACGCCTCCTTGATTTTCGGAAATGTATTCGAAACAACCGCGACGATTTTGTTGTTTGTTCAGGCCACTTGTTCCTTCATATTCTTGTTTTTTCTCATTGAACATAGTACATGGCCAGTTTAGCTTTAATAATTTTATAATCATTGCTTTGAAACGAAAACACAACTTTAGATTAATCGATTTCTTTTATTCAATAATATTTTTATAGCCTATATCTAGCAAGAGAGAACACGGGGAAAAAAGGAAAAAACTATCGGAATGTATGTTACTTAAAATTAAGAATATAATCGTAAAATAATTCCGATATCATCCACACCATCTGGATGCTTGGCGGTCCACCACTGTACGTTTCACTAAGAATTTAGTCCCGCGTACGACCTCTCTGTGGAATAGTTTACTACCGGCGATTTTTCCGGACCGATACGACTTAGGAACCTTCAAGAAAAAAACTTACTCCTTTCTAAAAAAAACCGGATACGACTTAGGGACCTGCAAGAAATGAGCTTACTAAGGCCGGCAACGCACCTGCAGTTCTCCTGGTGTTGCAGTAGTGCATTGGCGGCGGTAGCCACTTAACATCAGATGAACGATGTGCTCGTTTGTTTCCTCTCGTATAAAAAAAGAAAGCTCTGAAGTTGTATGAATAGTTTGTAGCTAAGAAACTATTAAAAATATTTTTTACCACAATACACTTTAACGCAAAAAAATTCTCAAAATATACTTTGATTTATTGCAACTTGCAATTTTTTATATGCCATTGATATTGAATACGTTGCTTAGTCAGAATACTAAGGGGCATTTTACTGCAGTGCAGAAACAAGTCAACGTCTTGTCGTTGCGGTTGTGGTGGTACGGTATCGATAATCTTTTGAGCCGTTTAGTTAATACAATACGCTACTTGGTTATAATCGTAAAAAGAGTTCGCTCCCTACCAATAATAGAGATTTATCAAAACTTGATAAAATAATAGGTATTTCCTTGTAATAATCGGTGTAATAGTATGAGGTAAAACATCGCCAAGTACTGTCCACCAACAGGCGCAGTGCCCGAAGACAATGAATGGCGGTCTAGCGACTTAATGCTGACGGTATGTCCGTTTCATGACGATTCTTATAGATAAGTAATGGGGAGGAGCGTCACCGGTACGCGAAGGTTTCGGATGTGGTCTTATCCCTTGGCCTGAACAATGGGGTAGTGGTATTAATAGGTTGATCTTTTAAGGTTGTTTGTCAATTGTTGCAGTTCAAAAAGGCTAATGTTCACTAGTGCCGTTTAATAGTGTCAAAAGAGAATCCACTACCGCATGTCATACCGTAGGTGGAGGAAATGAATCAGGAAATGTTCAACGGCATCTTATTGATAACAAGTCAAAATAATAAAATCTGAGTTTAACAGTCCACCTGCCAAACGTACCGACTGTGGTAAATACTCCTCTATGAAGCAATCAATGAGTCGCAGCGCTCAAGGCCGCGGATTTGAATTACACACGGTACAAGTATTTGTACGGCCTACAAATAATCATTGTGTGGGGTCTGGATGTTTGTCCCTGAGAAATTTATGCATGTAAACACCCTCACCATATAAGACAAAATACTAGTGTGAAGGTAACTTATTTTAAACAAGAAAAAAATCTATAGGACAAGCATTCATCGTTGGACTTTTCATAGGCTATTGATGAATAAACGAATGTTCACCTGTGGGTTTGGACAGGTGAACTAATACTATTTATTAGCATTAGGTTAATGGTCACCACACACGGTCAGTTCAAACTAAAACTTGATATTTTTAAAATATAAAATATCAACAGTTTTAGTTTGAACTGATCAGTAGGAATGATCAGTTGAACTGACCGTGTGTGTTGTCCATAAGAAGTAAAAAGAATAAAGTCAAATATAATAAGGAATATAATATAATAAAAAATACGGTTCAACCTGTAGGCCATCCCCGGAACTTCCCGCTTATTTTCTAGCGCAACGCTCGAAAATCTATTAATTTTTTTGGCTTTTATTTTTGAAAATCTTTGAAATGTCTGATTGACTTGAGAATCTAATCAGCTCGAAGTCTCAACGAATGATTCGGTTTACAAATATACGAACAAAAACACACGCACGCACGCACGCACCCACCCCCACCCCGCACGGCGGACCGCCCCGTGGAGATCTAATGAAAACTCTCATTCTCAAAATCGGACCGAAATCACAGAATAAATAATAGTTGCCGAAATCTATAACTTTCTACTTTTAAAAATTGTTAATATTCAAAGTAGGAAGTTAAAAAATGAATATTAATAAAATAGTGTGCCAAAAGAATTATTTCCTTGATGAAGTTCCTGTATTCTTTTTATTCATTGATTAACTAGAAGCGTTACGAAATTTGAACAAAATATGTTAGTATGATGAAAGGGTTTGAAAAAACATAACATACAACTTAGGGCCCTAATGTTTGTTGTTGACACAATTATATTTCCCTTAATTGAACATACTGAGTGTGTTTAGTCTGTGTACAGCTCGCGTCTAAAATCACGTCTATATATAGAGAACAACGCGGTGCTGTCTGCGCTCAGCCACTTCCGTTCGCCATACTGGTTGGGTAAGACCGGAGCTTCTCGTTAGAGGGTGCTACTGTTGAGTCAGATGGCAGAAATTTGAGACCCGCTACCAGCCATATACTATACGTTATAATTATTATACAACACTAATTTTTATTAAGATATTAAATTTTTAAAAAAATCACGGTTTCAATTCTTGTCGAATCTACAGTTTGAAAATGCAAAATCAAAGATCAATTGCCATTTGCTTAGGACTTAAACAAGAAGTTATGACGTTGTATAGTGGCGGCGTGAGAATTGCCACTACCACTTTTTACGTGGTAGAGCCATGCCGCAGCTATATTGATTGTATGGTTGTAGCACGAATGGGTCGGCTCGACGGGGGAAGGACCACGCTCTCACAGAATACCAGCGTCAAATAGCAGCTTAATGCTGCTGTGTTTCGTATGGTGAGTGTAGAGAACCGAAGACCCTTTTTACTGGAAAAGAGGCATTCCATCTTAGTCCTCAAGGCTGACAACGCATCTGCATTTTGATTCGCAAACGAAGATAGATGTGGATGTCTATGGGCCACAGCAACCACTTACCATCAGGTGAACTGTGTGCTCGCGTGTCACCCCATTTCCTATAACAAAAAACACATATCATCGTAGGTATCATAAGAGGCGATAGAGGAAAATGAAACAGAAGATGCGCAGCCGCATCTTCCTGATAAAAACTAAAAATAATAAAA